AAAACAGAGCAGGCATGACATTGTTTTATAAATAGCACAAGAAAAGAAATCAGAGAGCAAAAAATCCATTGCTCTAGGGAAAAATTCTGTAGGAGTAGGACACTACAATCAGATGGCTAGGGTGGAAGGGTGTATTTCCTGCCTTCAATCCCAGCCCTTTCCCCCTTCCTCCAACCTGACTCGGTAGCTTGGTGGTGCATTCTGAAGAAGCAGTGCTGCATCAGGCAGAGCCTAAGCATTTGGCATGTTATATTTCTTGATGGAGATTCCTATTAAAAGAATCAAAGTGTTAATGTTTAGTAATACATTTTGATGATCAAGTGTTACAATTGAATTTCAGTTAGTCAGTTAACATAATTAATATGGCAGCTATTCACAATGAATGTACATTTTACATTATATTGGGTTCAATCCCCAGTCTTGGCTAATATCAGAACCATGCAATTAAATACAGTATAAAGAAAATGATAAAAACATAACCAAAGTAAAATTACAAAGCACAGCGCACTTTGCAAATTCTTGAGTAGGCTGTAGGAAAACCAGGAACAAAGAAAAAGCCCAGAAGGCATCATTCACAGAAGCAACTGGGGCAACTGCTAATAATAATAGCTCATATTTAGTGAGTCCTTACTGGATGCAGGAGCCTTATGTATTATTCTACTTGGTGGTCAGAATATTTGTGTAAGGCATTTATTTATTAGTCCCAGGTATATAAATGAGGTTTAAATAACCTGTCCAAGATGCTTAACTAGGAGTAGTAGGGCCCCATGTTGAACTCAGGACTGACTGTAGACTATCTTTAACTGCTATGCCAAACAACCCATTGGAGATTCCGATTCAGGCTGGATGGTGTTAAATCAGAGGGACGAAGAGGAGCTCAGCTTGCAATAGCTATGAAGATGAGCAGGTCAAGTCTTAGAGTAAGTTAGTAATGAACTACAACTTGTTGGCACAAAGCACCCCCCATCATTACCCTCACTCCAATGCTATGGGTGTGTGTAGCCCTCTGTAACTTCTGTGTAAATTCCTCTGTGGTAATAAGTGGCTGTGCATCTAAGTTGGTGCCATTTTGAATTAGGGAAGGATGGTAACAGTCTCCAGGAATGATGAAGATAAGTCAGAATTTAAATGGAGAGGAAAAAGAGCAGGACTGCATAGACATAGTACCCACTCAAATAATCAAGTGAACTGTTCCGTACCTGGTCCTTGTAACGGTTAATCCCTTTGTCATGCATCTAGCTTTTGGGACACCTCCATCGGGACTCCGAATACTACACTCAGGTAGACAGGTGTGGGCAAGAAGTTGTGGCAAGGAGAATGTCAATGGAAACAGAATAGTAACACTGTTCCTTGAATTTTGCTTTCAGAGATACCCAAAACTGACACTTGAGACCCTCCCATGTTTTTAAAATTAAAGATTAATAATCTATTCTCAGCCTTTTGATCTTAAAAGCTCTTCTACTTGATTGCCTCTGGGGGAGATTTAATGCTTCACTTTTGGTGTTATCTGCCTTGTTTATAGCTGTCTTGGTGTTACAGGAAGGGTAAACAACAGGATATTCACTGGTGGTGTTTCTCATTGCTGTTACTTTAGTAAAAAAATAGATTTTCCAATGTCCTTTTAGAACTGTATAGAAAATTATTTCATTTTCCAGATATTCTCTCCAGTATTTGTCTGCTTATTATCAAACCATGGCTACATTTTGGCTACATGTCATGATTAAGCAGAATATGTGTTAACCACGTAATGGTATGGTAATTTGATTTGATCCTGCTTACCTGAAAGATGGTAACATAAAAAATGATTATTTGGGTATTAATTGTTAGACTGAAATGACATGTAAAATTATATGAACTGTTTTCCTGGGCAGGGAAATAATCCTGTTCGTCTTTGCCAAAAGGAAAGGCGGCTTTCCGAAAAGGTGCTCCTCTCCTTTCCTAACTGAAGGAAAGGAAACAAGTAACCGTGTCAAAAAAGGATTCCAAAAACTTTGCCCCTCTCCTTGCCTTTTTCTTTAACAACTGTTAAAGTTATTGTTTCTTTAATAACAATAATCATTGTTTCCTTTTATTCACATTTTAGAAGAACCACGAAAGAGGCACAAGCAATTGGAGGGCCAGTGCCCACTCTTACCTTTGCTGGTTGTAAATTGTGAAATATCTGGCAAACAAGGGGTTAATTAAACATCAAATCTGTTATTAGGCCTTTCTGTTTTTTTTTTTTTTTTGAAAGGTCCAAAATACAAATATCTTACTCTGTGGTCAGAACTTTTACTTAATTAGATATTCTTTGCTTAATCAAGTAAGTGAGTTTGATTATAGTTTTAGTAAATGTGTTATTTGATATTGTGGGCTCTTTCATCAGAATTCACTTGAATCAAGAAAGGTAACACCTGTGGGTTGGTTCACAAAAGCCTTTTTTGTTAAATGGACACCCGCAGCCCCTGAGGCAATTACATTTGTTGCTTGTACTATAAAAGAGGCACTTAATCAGACCTCAGTGCGTGCTGCTGAGAACTAGGCTTGACTCTTTTGTGCAGCCCTGAGATTAGGTTTTAGTTTAGCTCAGGAAGTAAACCTCTGACGTAGAGAGGAAAAACAAGCATGATTTAAGGGTTCTTTTAATGCTTTAAAATCCAGCCCTAAAGTTAGCTGTATCTGAGACCCTGGGAAAATGCAGAGTTGAGCAAAAGTAAACTGTTCTATGTGGCATTCATTGTAAAAACGTATCTGTATGTTCTTAGTCAGTCTCATGTATTCATTTAAGTTACCATGGTAGATTTGCAGAAGTATAAGAAGGAAGAGTATCTAACTATTAAAAAGTTTTGGTTATGAGAAGTAATGAACATAACATGGAAATGGGGGGTTTCCATTTTTGGCCATTTGCAAAACATTTAGTCCAGATGCATTTATTGAAGTCCTGTTCTACTTCATTTGGAAAGTTATAGTGGCTCTTTAAAAAATATATTTAAAAATATAGTTTAATCACTATTTTATGTTAATATTTTGTTTTAATAATGTTACTATAGATTTTTTCTCTTATCTGACTTGAGTTTTCAACTTAGTGATAACAAAATATTGGTTAATCCAACAGACAAGAACTGTTGTGAGTTAGAAAGGACATTTTGGTTCTATTCCTTGCCTCACTCTGTAAGGCTGGGTTTTCAGTTTCAGACCCCCATCCAGACTGTGTTGTGATTTGTTTGTTTAAATAAGTGAGTTCTTAGCTAGACTGATAGTTTAGTTACCAGACCTCTGGTGACAGTGCTGCTGATCGCAGTCCTTTGCTTGCACTGCCCAGAGCGGCAGAGCCTGCTGTGTGGACTGGAGCGTAGTTCGGTCCTGTTCTCTCCACGCCACCATGGACGAAAAAGACTTTTGTTTTAATTCAGCAATGTTCCCTTTTTTAAAAGTACAAGTATCACTGAAAGGTCTAGGCATATTAAGATACACAGGTTAAGTACCTGTGGGTGTACTTTAAATTGCCTAAATAATAACATACAATTCATAAAAATGTACATTGTAAAACATAAAACAAACTTGTGTGAGTTTCCTTTCAGCATTTACACACATTGCCCTGTAACTTCCTTTTTTCAGACTATTGCATATAAATCTATTCGATTTTTTTAAAAAACAGCTATTATTATATAAATAAACTTATTTAACTGAGGAAATATTTATATTGTCGCCAATTTTGAGATACAGGTAACACCATAGTGAACTCCTTTGTTCCTACATAATTGCAGGCTGAGTTGGGCAAATCTTTTCTGAAGATTTTGAGAGGGAAGGAGTAAAATGAAATCATAGAAGAGCCACCCCTGAAGGGGCACAAGGCGATGCCACAGGCACATGAAACTTTCCATATTATTGCTGAAGTATGCTAAAAATAATAATGAGCACTTTACATTAGATCATTTGAATCTGTTTCTGACAATGATGGAGTAACTGGTGCTGAACTTGCCTTTCAGTCATTAAAAAAACTAGGAAATTGGACAGAATATGGGAAACAGCTATTTTTCAGACAGTGCACAGCAGGCAGTACCAGATGGATCCCCGAGAGAAGGGAAACAAGCCTGGCAAGCCCTGCACTCGCTCGCCCCAACCTCTGCCTTAAGGCCGTTTTCAGGAGGCCTGTTGAGGGAACGTCCACAGTGGTCTTGCTCAGTCGGGGAGATGGGGAGACGGGAAGACGAGGAGATGAGGGATCAGAGCAGAGGGGAGGTGCAAGTGGTTGGAATTTGTGGGTCAAATCAGCAGGGACAGCTGAGATCCAGTTCTCTTGGCTTTTGGGCTGAATGCATACTAAACTGTGCCTGCTCACGGTGAGACTTAAGAGACCGAGCAAAGAACCTGTAGTGGGGAGCTAAGTAATTCCCAGAGCTCACACAGGGCTGAGAGCCATTTGAACTCTGACCAGCTAGAGTGGACAGATCTCATCGAATATCCGGAGCATTCAGTAGAGACTCCAGAATACCATGTCCTACTGGTAGGGCAAAAGAGAATGTTGTGAGCTAGGTAGGTCCAATCTAAGAAGTTAAAAACAAGGCTTGAGCCACAGCTAAATTAACTGCCTCCCCCAAAACAAACAGACCTGTCCAGCATTTAGCATACTCCTAAGAAAGACAGCAAAATACACTCAACAAATGAATGTCCAACTCAATCATATATTGCTAGAAATGTGAAAATGAAACCCATAACCAGAACAGAAATCAGTTAAGTAGATCCAAAAATGGCAGAGATAATGGAATTAACAGACATGTGCTCAAAAGACCAATTTTAAATATTTTCAAGGATGTGGAGGATGGACATAATGAGGAAAGAAATGGTAAATATAAAAAAGAGCCAAGTGAAATTTCTAGAGCTTATAAATAGATAGAGACTACAAAAGATCCCAGACCAGGAGAAAACATATACCTGTCACAGGACATTGAACCAAGGTAGATAAAAGACTCTTAAGATGAAGAATAAGAAAAAACAACCCATTTTTAAAATAGGCACAATATTTTAATAATAATTCATAAAGGATACATAACAGGCATAAGAAAAAATGCTTGTCAGAGAAATGCAAATGAAAACCATGTGATACTAGTAACTGACTAGAATGGCAAACATTTTTTTTAATGAAAACATCAAGGTTTTGGAACAACAGAAAAACTCATACCTTGCTGTTTGGAGTGTAAAATGGCATAATCACATTGGAAAATTTTAAGGCCAATTATATGACCTAGAAATTCTACCCCAAGGTGTTTACTGAAAATGGACTTGTACATAAATGTTCATGGTGCTTTATTTGTAAAAGCCCCCAAATGCAAACAACGTAAATACCCATCAATAAGGTCATGGATAAATGTGATTTACAATGGAATACCACTAGCAGTGAAAAGGAATGAATGACTGATACATACCCACAACATGCATTAATCATAAACATTTGCTGAACAAAAGCCAGACACCAAATAGTATCTACTGTGCATATAAATGTGCAGTTTCTTTCCTATGAAATTCAGAAGCAGGTAAAACTGTCACTAGTAACAGAAAACTGATCACTAGTTGCCTAGGACTGGCTGTAGGGTGGGGGGCTGACAGGAACAGGGAGGGGCTTTTGGGCATGCTAGAAATGTTCTCCATCTTGATTGTGGTAGGTGGCTTTATAGATGTGCATATTTTCCAAAATTAGTGTCAAAATTTAAACCGGTGTAAAAGGTATATGTAAAGTATACCTTTATAAAATTGCTTTTTAAGGTGTACGCCCTTACTACGAAAAACAGTTGTGTTTCAAAAACTGAATAATTTCAAACATGAATTTTTTACAGGGAGGACAAGGCAGGGTCAGCAAAAGGTCCTGCTTGATTTTAAAAGATCCACACTTAGAGGCTTTCCTGTCTGTAGAGAAGTGCTCATTAGATTAAAGGTCCCATAGGCGATGAACTTGTTTCCTTGATTTTTGTCCTTTATATTAAGCATTGATGTCTGTGAGATACAGAGGTTATTCCTTTACTATAAGTGGGTATTACTATGTATGGGCTTCAGATAAGTAGGAGGTAACATGCCCCATACTGGAACCTACTCATTCTATTAAATATCAGTAATAGTACTTCACAGGTTGTTTTAAGGGTCAAATGAGTTTTTATTATTATTATGAACTAAACCGGAGAGCCACATATACATACTGGTTTGCACTGCTATTCCTCCCTCTTGTTCCATCTCTTGCAGTCAAGGATGAGGCGTGGCTAGCCTCCTCCAAAGGCTTCTGGTGATGTTCTGGGGTTCTCTTAGCTGATTTCTTTCCATGCCTATTAATTTTACTATACCAGAGAGAACACTTGATGACCATATTTAGCTAATTTGGAAGAAACTTAGGTCATAAGTACCATCAAAGTGATTGTATTTTACAAGAAATTTCTACTTACTAATAATCACCAGCAAATATTTGAGTTCCAGCTTTGGTTTGTATCTTCCCGAGCTGTTGGTATTAGCCTATACAATTTTTTCTTCTTTTGCCTTTCCCGGCATTCCTAAACCATGATGGAGAAACTATGGAAGTTTAAACACAGTAGGTGTTCACGTGTGGCTTCTCCCAAGGCAGTACTTCAGAGTTTAATGACACACGGCTTTTCCAAATACACGATTTTGTTCTCTTCATTTATGAACTGAGATAAACTCACTTGTCTCCTTGAGCCAACCTTATGCTTCACTGCACATAAATCCACTGATCTAGGTAGGAACTAGCCTCACTCTTGGCCCTAGAGCCTGTAACTAGTAACACTAATACAGGAGAGTGATCCCCTGGCTGGGTAGCTCAGAGGGTTAGAGTGGCCTCCCGATATGCCAGTGTTGGAGGTTTGATCCCCGGCCAGGACACATACAAGCAATGAATGCATCAGTGGAAACAACAATGCATTGGAACAATAATGCAAGTGGAACAACAGTCAATTTCTTTCTCTCTTCCTCTGTCCCTCCTTTTTCTTCTCTCTGTAAAATCAATCAGTAAATAAAAAGAGTGATCTTATAGTATGTCATATTCTGTCATGAAACTTGTCTTTTCTGTACAAATAGAGAAATGTAACATTGAAGTGTATCTAAATAAAAATAATTCATGAACTTTTGACCAAGTATTTCTACATGATATATTCTAACATTATATATAGTGAAATTAAAATTTTATTTGCTTGTATAAATTAATTTTTCCAAATTGTAATGGGAGGGGAGAAATAGATCCCAGAGGATATTTAGGGCAGTGAATACTTTGTATGACACTAGAATAACGGATACACGTTGTACATTTGCCCAACCCATAGAATACACAACTCCAAGAATGAACACTGAGGTAAACTTTGGACTCCGGATGATTAGTGTAGATTCACCAGGTATCACAAATACACCACGGCGGTGGGGGGTCAGTCACGGGGGAGGCTGTGCCTGTGTGGAGGCAGAGGGTACGTGGGAATTCCCTGTACCTTCCTGTCAGCTGTGCCGTGAACCTAAAAGTGTTAGGGAAGTAATTGGTGATACTTCTGAAAGTTACAGACATTTCTTATGAAACCAAAGAAGAATATTTTTATTCACATAAGGTCCTCAAGTATTAGCCAGTCAAAAGAACAGTGAAGATAAATTCCTTCTTGAGAGATCATTTTGGACTGGGCAATATAATTCAACTTTCTTGGCCAGTACAACATATAAAGGAAAAACTTTTAAAATAGTTTTAAAGATTGTTGCTGTAATTTTTAAGTTTATGATGAACAGATATTAATGAGCAAATGTCTCATCAAAGAAACTTTTTCTTAAAGCAACATGTTCTGTTCTTTGAAGATGCTTGCCATTGAGTAAAAATTTACACTTACGTTATTTACCAGTTACTACACAAGACATATAGGAACTAGGGTCTTTTCATTTAGAATGTTACCATCATTAATTTTACTACTGATGATTTTATAATAGGCCCTTCCAGTTCGTGGTGGTCATTACTGAAGTATAATGCATTACAGATATGGCCTGTACAGAGGCAGAACAGGGATCTTAATTAGAATTCTGACAAGGCCATTCCAATAAAATGATGAGATTATTTGTAATTGATGTCACAATCAATTACCACCCAGTTCATCATGAGCAGTCTAATAGGTCTGGCCTTGGTACTGGCCCCAGGATGTTGCTGAATGAGCGGCTGCCCTGCCTGTGCCGTTACTGAGACAGGAGGGCGCGTTTTCAGGCGGCATCCAGATGACCTCTTTTTGAAGTCTATTAAATTAATGACCCTGTCACACTGTTCTGATCTCTTATAACCTCGGTTTGCGGTTTGTGTAACAAATTAATGTTTGGGAACCATGTGGCAAAAATAAATAAACAAACAGGTCTTTAAAAAAAGTTGAAACCTTAATCTTATATTTAATAAAAGTTATTTTACTGTACAAATATGAAATCACAGGGTTTGCATGTATTTTATGAAAGAGAACTTCAGGACATTTCTCCCTACCTGCACAAGAAATACTTTTCATTTATAGTAGTACCCACATCTGTTTTTTCCTTTTTAAAGGGGCTGCTTTCTTTAATTCCAGGTTCCAACAGGGCACGTTTGGTTAGAAGGTGATAATCTACAGAATTCTACAGATTCCAGGTACTATGGGCCTATTCCATATGGACTAATAAGAGGACGAATCTTCTTTAAGGTACTGTTTTCAGCTTAAAATGTAGGCTTGCGTCTCTGAGCTGGGGGACGAGTTTCTTTCAAAATGAACTTTGAAGTTTTCAGGCTGTCTGTGGATTTCACTGTTGCAGTAACAGTTATGCAAACATTGGCCTGTACCTTTAACTATTACCCTGTCTTCCCACTGAGACAAGTAATCAAGAACTTTTTTGTTGGCATAATAAAGTTCAAACTATCTTAGTTGTATTGTATCTTAGTTGTATTGTAGCATAAGAAGCCTTTAATTTGAATGTCCAGACATTTCTGCCATACGCTAACTCGTATGAACAGTCCTTTAGAGACTGTTCATACACGTTAGCAGAGGGGCAGTGAAGAGCCAAACCGGCAGACTTATCCCGGCTGTAGTAAATATATGGCTCTTAGGAAAGATTCTTTTCACTGGCTTCTCCTTTTTGTCACAGTCAGTAAGGAGAAAAACAGACATGAACATTTGGGGAAATTTTATAGGATTCTTTACATTTAAGCATAAGTATTGTTAACTTTAAAAATGAAAAGGAAACACAGGCACACACATTCACACATATACTCAGTTGACCCTTACGTAACATGGAAGTTAGGGGCACTGGCCCCCATGCAGTTGCAAGTCTTGTATAACTTTTGACTCCCTGCACCAACTTGATCTATAGTATCTGGGGTTTGTTCTGGGGAGCCTGCAGGTACCAAATCTGTGGACGCTCAAGCCCCTTATATATTGCAAAATCACATAAAACAATGCATACAGTTGGCCCTCTGCATCCACGGATTCCTAAACATGGATGAAAAGTACTGTTTTTAATCCACTGTTAGAAACCTGGGCACACAGAGGGCCAGCTGTGTATTAATTGAAAAACTTCTGTGTATAACTGTACCCACGCAGTTCAAACCTGTGTTAGAGTTTAAATACACATATGGAAATTTACTTTCTAAAATCTTATTTTGATGTAGGAAATTTGTTGTTGAATGAGAAATAAAGAGAAAGTGTTTAGTTATACGGCACAGAGAAAGGAATGAATGAAAAAAAGGAGTATGATGATGATATGCCATCACTTACATTAACTGTCTTTAATCACATTTTGATTTTACAGATTTGGCCTCTGAGTGATTTTGGATTCCTACGTGATAGCCCTAATGGCCACAGATCTTCTGATGATTAACGTGCATTTAGCCTTTTCACTTGATGACTGTCTTCTGTTCAAGTGAATTTATTATTCACTGAAACCATGTATTCACTAATAAACTGTTTGCTGCTGAGTTCGTGGTTTTTAATTGTTAAGTATAAAGAATAAGTAACACAATTTTTATACTATATTAATTCAAAACATATGGATAAAGGTAATCCAAAACAAGTCATCTGAATTTTATGAGATGTAAACATTTTAGGGGGAAACCTAGATGACAACTTCACTTTTAAATTTTTAGTTTTATAAGTGTAATAAAAATCTCCTCATGAATATGCTTATACTTTAGCTACATTTACAAGTCAAGAGTAGAAAACTAGTCTTCTATGTCCAAACCAACAATAAATACAGAGTTCAACTTAATAAAAAGCTGTTAAGTCACAAGCTTGGCTCACTCATTTGAAATTAAGAAGGTTTCAGTGAACCCATGAAGTATTCCTTTCTAAGTCAATTTTTAAATGAGTTCTGACTTATACTATACACAGAATATTAAGTGTATAGGAAAGTAAAATCCTTAGAGTCTACTGTAATCAATAATGATACATTATAAAAATCCATTTCATCATACTAACAATGCAGTAGTCTCTTATTCCCCAATACAAGCATTAATACGGTATCTTAGTGCACTGAAATAAAACAGGAAAATAAAGCATGTGTTTTGAACCTAAAGCTACATTCCCTAAATTGTATGTAAAGTTGAAGATGGCAGTGTTCAGGAAGCTGACTCCCTTTAATAGAGCTGCATGAAGAATGTGGAAGTACAGTGTCAGGACTGAAGTCAAGTCTTCTGACTCCAGAGCTATCCTCCTTTTTACAGATGCCTGTCTGCCTTCCTTTCACTTGAAATAACCTCATGAATGTCCACATTCAGGCTTCATTATGGGAGAAACAGGCTCACATGTTATTCTCAAAGATTCTAATTTAACTCTAATGACCCAGGATTTTTAGACAGTTATACAACAGGCCTACAACTTTGTGAGCTAGAAATATGATATAACCTCAAAAATATAGTAACTATAAAAGAATATGATGATATTGTGACCATTAAAAAAGACATGCTTATTAAAGAAATCAGTAATAAGTTCTCAAGTAGGAATATGCTAAATATAATTTATAATTCCAAGCCCTTTTCTGGTGATCTGTAAATATAAATTATAAATACATATAAAGAACAAAATTTTCTACTAATCTGGGGTGGGCTTTGCATATTATCTTTGCAAAAAAAAAAATCCTTTCTTGGTGAACCTTACACAGTTGCTTGAATGGAGAAAGTTGGAATGGACTCTCCAACATTCCTGAATATGCAGTTAAAGAATTCCACTTGGCAAACAGTTTCAGCTGCAGTGAAGCAGTTCTATAATTAGTGAACAAGTATCACAGGAAATCAGGGTAACTTCTTCTGCTTCTTCCTTGGAAACACTGTATTTTCCACCACAGCGGCAACTCAGAGAAAAAGAGTTATCATCTGCAGAGAGAACAGAAAACTGCTTCAAACGCTTATACGCATTGATAACACCACACCTGCACAAAATGCAACTTACTCCACAAATTGCAAAACAAAAGAAGCACCTCAGTAAATACAAAACAGATTAAATGACAACTTGGAAACATATGGGGCAGTGTTTCTAAGAATCATCACAGAATCTTTATCTGTGGAGATCACTGAAGCTGTAAGTTCAAAGATCTTGGGGTGACAGCAGATGCTCAGAAGTGGCCCAGGAAAAATTTATTTGAAGTCTCCTGTTTTCTTAGCATTTATATAAATTTCACATTCTTCGCAATGTGTCCAAAATATTACTGTAAAGGGGAAAAAAACCAACCCTACTTGTTTTACTGTTGAAGAGCATGCATTTGCCTGGAGTATTTCCTTTTAAAGAAAACAATGCTAACTTGACTGTTTATCCAGTTCAACATGTGAATATTTCTGCTGTGGTTGTACACTATTTTAAGAAACCTGACTCAAAAAAGAGGTCCAGAAAAAGTCCAGCCATTGTTAATATAACAAGTTCAGTTTGTATGACACTGATATAACCCGGCAGCCAAGGACAGTGGACTGGAATGCACATGTGTGAACAATAACGACTTCACTGTACTCGTCGGTGTGGGCTGTAGACACCATTGGGTGAGCATGTGTACTGTGTGGACATTGTATTAAAAGTGAGTAGAGCAACAAATCTGCATCAAATTTTGCATTAAGCTTGAACATTCTTCCATGGAAACTATTCAGATGACTCAGAAGGCTGCAGCTATGGGCAACTGGTGATTGGCAGCTTCATCACGGCAACACGCCTGCTCATGCATCATGTCTCATGCAGAGTGTTTTGGCAAAACATCAAATCACCAGGTAACCAGCCCCCCGACAGCCCAGATTTGGCACCCTGCAACTTCTAGCTTTTCCCCCAAACTGAAATCACCTTTGAAAGGAGAGATATTTTGGACCATCAGTGAGATTCAGGAAAATACGATGGGGCAGTGATTGGGAGAACTGTGTGGGGTCCCAAGGTGGTGCTTCGAAGGGGACTGAGGCGGCGTTGTCCTTTGTACACCGTTTCTTGTATCTGCTTCAATAAATGTCTCTTTTTCATAGTACATGGCTGGATACCTTCTGGACAGACCTTGTATATAAGCACACTACACTGTGTTTTCTGTGAGTGTACCTGTTTGGTCGTTAACCAAATGACTTAAGAATCAAAGGGCAGGCACTGCAGTGAGATGCCCAAAGAAGGCAGTGAGGTGTAACACTGAGCACTAATGTGGAAATTTTATCAAGTCTGTCGTTTTTCTGGGAAGTTGAAATGCTCTGTCCTTTAACTGATGAAGAATTCTGATTTACTGGTCATTCAGTTTTAATATCACTGAGGTGACTGTCAAAGGAAAAATAATTACTGATCACATTATTTTACTATTGTTGTAATTTGTTATATAAAGGAACTAAGTCTCAAGATATGATTTATTAAAATCAGACATCTTCATTTAATTCTCAAATTTCATTTTTTTTTAACACTTAGATCTCAACATATGCCACTAAAAGAAAAGAGAAGAAAAGAAACAAATTTAACAGCTTTGTTTTTGTTCTCTAATCAAGTCTGGCCTTTGAAAAACTAGCATCAAATGAATCAACTTTATGTGTTTCTTCTATCATTAAGGAAAACATGTATTCATTCACCTCACCCTGCTTTTTATTTCTTACCACAATGCCTTCTCTCTCCACAGGGAAAAAATTCATTTTGAGTTTAAAAATGCTAACACCTTCCCCGTGCCAGCCAATATACATGTTACGGTACAGCGTGCTTTCACAGTGAATTGCTTTATTATTAAATTGTCTAAAAATGTACATACTATAGCCATTGGTTTTCTTAAGCTAAAGCTCCCTCTTGTTTTTTACCACCTCAGTGAACATTGAGAAATAATCGAGGTGACGTGTGCTCGGTAAATGATGCAGAGGCCACCGTAGGCTACTGTGTTGTTTCGTCAGAGACGATTCCAAATGTTAAGCCTCACTAAAAACTCCCATTTTTAGTTAAATTTCTTCTTATACTATACATCTATCACTAAACAAAGAGATATCTTCATGGAAATCGTCATTTCAAATGTAATGAATGGAGACAAAACGGCCAAGCTGTGAGATTCGCTGTGAGGGGACAGGTTCAACTTCGGTCCCTCAGGAGCTCTTCCGGTGTGCCTCGTAAGCACACTAAGATGCATCAGTTCATCTCTCCTTGGACCAACCACGTGCCATTTCGTTCACTCGCCCGGTCTACATCTCCACCTTCCAAGGCTACTCTGAAAATGACTGAAGAAATCTTCATTGTTTTACTCGCCCAGTTGATCCACTTTTTATTTACCTCCATCTGCTGAGAATGCTCTTCTCAATTGCAAAACACAACTCAGTATTGCAAATTCAATTGTAAAACTTATGTGACTAGTTTTTAAATATTCCTGCAAAAATAATGGCTTCATGCAACTGTTGCTCAGTATCTTCTCTCACAAGGATTAAGAACTATCCACACCCTTAATTTAAATAAGCATCTAAGGACAATCTGTGGTTTTGAGATGAACTGTGAAGGCTTAGAGCCACTCCAATGGCTGTGGCTGGGATCCTCTGTGACTTCCTTGCTGACAAGTTCACTTTAGTAAAGTCTCAAGGACAACAACACGTCACAACAATGCCTGAGTTCAGTTGTACACTCCCCTCAGTATCTTTTCAGGAAGTTCATACCTTTGTTGACTGAACAGATGCTTGAACCACCAGTCCATATTCTTTTGTAAAAAATCTTAAATTATTATTTTTAAAGTGTTACTGAAGGAAAAAAATTACAAAACCCATTTTTTACTTTTTTCACATTATCGGAACAGTAAACAAAATATACTAGCCATGTCAACTACAGCAAGAACTAGTTTGTGTAATAAGAGATAAAATACACATACACGCACACTAATTGATAGGGCAGCAATACGATATTTTCAAAAGGTTTATTCAGTTGGGCAGGTGTCCCTGATAGATGACATGTTCCATTCCGTCCCCTCGTGACCCGGCAGTGAAAGCCTACACCACAAGTGCATTCTGTTTTCACAGCAGTAGCTCTTCCAGTTTTTGCTCCAGAAATTGTGTCAACCCCTGGGAGCCCCAGTTACACAAAACCTTGTTCTCCATTCATTCGTTGCAACGCAGAATTTCTGCTTTAGGGTTTAATCTGGTCATCTGGCACTTTAGGAAAGGGAGGGGCCCACAGGCAGAAACACACTCCCCCGTCAGAGCCAACAGATCCAGCTTTGTAAGAACACGAAGTTATGGATTTGCCGTTAAAACTATTTCATTAAACTTGGTTTCAGGAAGGATGGGCTGTTTATCTTCTACCTGTTCACACTCATCGGTAAATTTTTATAAACCCCAAGGGAATTTGTACCCCAGGCTGTAGAAGGTTTCTTCATTTGTCCAGAGACATGCAGAAGTGTGGTATTCACAGCTACTCAGAAAAAGGAACTTAATGTCACACTAGAGCAACTTACAGAACTATCAAGAGCGGAAAAATTCAGTTAGATTTTAAAATTCTAGTAATAGGAAAGTAAAAAAACAAAAACCACAACTCCATGGTAAGTAAAGGGGGGGGTGACAGATTGTTATTTTCCTCCTAAGACACAATCAAAAAGTGAGTGTAAAATCAAGCTCCAAGTAGAAGAATATAACTTTGAAAGGCTTCCCCTAACAGTTTGTGATTCCATATAAACAAACAAAAATTCTAATGGAAATTCATCTCTAATGTCAATATAGGAAAGGCAGAAAAAATGATCTTCTTTATTTTCCCTATCACACAGATGGTGAGTAAACCAAAAACCAAAGTGGTTTAAAAGAAGAAAACCTCATGAAACCGATGTGCCTAACATCTAATTAGAAGAGAACAATAACCAGAAATGAGTTATGGAGGAGATATCAACCATCAATAACCACAGTTTAGAATGAAACAAATATTCCAGACAAAAACACCACATGTATCAAAAGCCAACATATTATTTCTTTTTAAGATTCCAAATATCCTGAGATTTTTTTTCCCTTCGAGAAAATCCCTAATATTTTCGTTTATGGCTATCAAGAAAAAAAGACATTCCAACCTTTGTTCCAAGACATTTCTTCAAGATATACTTGAGCATCTACCGGTCCCATATTTCTTAGATCATCTTCTGTAAAATATAAAATGATACACTTAATTTTGATACTTTAATCATAAACGTGAAGAGTGCTGAAGAGGCCACCCCAGCCTGGTCAGTATAACTCTAATACCACTTTAAAACATAGCTTACTGCTCTTTTTACATTTTTTAAAATTCTCACCCAAGGACGTTATTTTTCATTGCTTTTAGAGAGAGGAAGGGAGACAGAGAAACACTGAGATGACAGAGAGAGACATCAATTGGTTGCTTCCCATATGTGCCCAGACTGGGGATCAAACCCATAACCTAGGCATGTGCCCTGACCAGAACTGAGCCCGCAACCTTTTGGTTATGGGTTGACATTCCAAGTAGCTGAGCCACACTGCCCAGAGCTTAAATTACTACTTTTATAGAGGTTTTAAAGCTCCCTGACTTCAGCTGACTAAAAATTTTAGAGCATACCACTTACAAACTTTAACAGTCAAAATCTATCATTTTTCACAAATACACATGTAAAACCATGAAGTTGATTTTGATAATTCTTTGTGATCAATTAGTGACCTCTATTTTATGTGACAGGATTATTTTGTCAGAGAAACCGTATTAGTAACTAAGGGAGGCAACATGGAGCTGAGTAAAAGTAACTGTATTTGAATCTTAGTTCTAATATTTTAGTAGCTTTCTAACTTGAGAGATATCAAGTAATCTTCTAACTTATCTACTTCAGTTCAGGTGCTTCAGACTGAATTGTGACCACCTCTCACCCCACCCCGTCAAATCCATATTCTGAAGCCCAACCCCCAATGTGACCGTATTTAGACATAAGGGTTTTAGGATGTAATGAAGATTAAACATGGTTGCAAGAGTGGGGTCCTAATCTGATGGAACTGGCGCCTTTCAAGGAAGGGGGAGGTTCTCTCCACGCGTGTGCACAGAAGTCATCACAGGAGGACGCAGCTGGAAAGAGGCTGTCTGCGAGCCAGGAGGAGACCTCACCAGGAACCACACTGACCGACACCTTCATTTTGGACTTCTGAGCCTCTAGAAATGGGAGGAATTTCTGTTCTTTAAGCGACCTCGTCTATGGAATTTAGTTATGGCATATGAAACAGACTAATACAAGGATGCTGTACCAATAAAATCAGATCTGGCTAAAAGTACTTTCAAGAATAAAGCTCTATCCATGTGTAATGACTGTTGGTCATCTGATTTTTATTTGCTCACAACATACTTAATAGGTATTTTGAAGGAAGAATTACTTTAAAATATTTCAGTAAGCACACAACACAACTGTATTGTGTTGATGTTCACTGCCATTTCCTGGGCCAGTTTTCCCTATAGCTGGAAAATCCGAAGAAGCCTGGAATTCCAGCTAAATTTGGTAAGAGTAAGGTCCAGGTGTTATAAGCACGCACTCTTGCCACAGTAAGTATATTTTGGGACAAAGAAAGCAACCAGAGAGGAGAAGCACTTGTCTTTATTATTAGAGGCATGTTATATAGTTCCTGCATGCTGGTATCATTCTTCTAAAAGTAAATGCTTAAAAGACACCAGTAAAATCCACTCCTACCCAATGAAATTTTCTGTAGTTGTCTCACTAGGTTCTTCTTCGCTCAGTGAGAATGCTTCCTTTTGTTCTCTTGTGTGAATGCCTGCCATTTAATTATGTTTAATAAGTGCCTGTTCTTTATTGGTGAGTTATATAACTTAAAATAGATAAGATTATATAATATTTTGAATTCACTGTGGTTTTCTATTGGATATATCAAATATTATAATCACTTCATATTGATTGGGTACCAACAGTTTATTAAATTATCCCTAAAATCCAAAGATACAGACTTAGCCTAGTTGTCAGGGGTACTTCTTCCATATCTGTGTGCCCACGGACTAGGTGATGCAGAATGTATCAATATGCTAAGTAATTTCTTTTTTTTTAAAAGATTTTATTTATTTACTTCGAGAGAGAGGGGAAGGGAGGGAGCAAGAGAGGGAGCATAACATCAACATGTGGCTGCCTCTCATGCCCCCCTACTGGGGACCCGGCCTGCAGCCCAGGCATGTGCCCTGACTGGGAATTGAACCAGCGGCCCTTATGGTTTGTAGGCTGGAGCTCAATCCACTGAACTATCTCAGCCAGGGCTAACATGCTAAGTAATTTCTGAACAAACAAAATAATTTCCACATTCTATACAAAGTAGACTTAACCATATGTTACTCATACTTCCTTTCCTTCTTTCCTTCTAGAAATGAGAGAAACAGAGAGGGAGAGAAACATCATTTGGTTGCCTCTTGTTTCCAAGATGAACTGGGGGACAGAACCTGCAACCTGGGCTTGGGCCCGACGGGGAATCAAACCGGCGACACTTTGCTTTGTGGAGCAATACGCAACCAACTGAGCCATGCTGGCCAGAGCAGTATTCCTTTTTTTAAAAGTTCTACTAAAAGTTTCATGGATAGAGGGGAAAAAATCTTATCACATGTTTCAATTTTTTACTCAGAGGGACCAGGACAGTTTGCTTGAATAGGGAAATGAAACACAATTTTACATTGGAAGAATAGGAGTAATTGGCACTTAACAGATCCTGGTAAGGGGAAAACCAGATATAAATGATTTACAATCAAGTCACCTATATATCTTACAGATATCCAATGTCTCTGATATCAGCTAAAGCAAATCGGACAAGGAAGACTTAATGACAAAATGAATAAACCTTGTTAATCTGACTTATTTTGGACACCTATAATAATTTATATACAAAAAGACAAACCATTCATATATATCCATTATGCACTTTTCATTTTAAAATAAGTCACTAAGTATCACTGTGAAGCAAGTCAGCTTTGTATTGTACTGATTCTCTACTAGGAAGCTATTGTTATTGTCTCCCAGTTACTATTTCTATATTAATGTGGAACCCTAATGTTCTACCTACTCAAAAAGGTGGCTTTCACATTTTTACTATTTTTTCCTCTTTATGTACAGGGACTTTAGAGTGCCTACCTATTTCTTAGTTGAAAGATCCATTTAGACCTTACGGTAAAAGGGAAAAGAGAACACCAAAATGGTTGGTAATGGTTAGCACCAGAGGTAAGAGGCGTGTACTCAAGTATTACCAGGTTGAGGCTGTGTAAGCATCTGCACTGTACTGATCTGATCGTTCCACACTATGTGCGGACGGTGTAAGTTTCTGTGGGGGTTCTGGCTGTAAAGTCAGTACACTCGTCCCTCGCTATATCACTGTTCACTTATTGTGGCTTCGCTGTATCATGGTTTTTAAATATATATATATATCTAATCCTGTATCACAGAGTTTTCGCTATACTGTGGGATTTTGTGATATATAGGTATTTATACAATATTTATGATTTACTTATTTTTGCCTAAAAAATAAAAATGTTAATTCAAAAATATTATAATATTAAATCAAAGTAAAATACAGTATGTATATCATCAGAGGATGACTACCATACTGTACGCGATGGAAATGCAGTAGGCCACTTCCGCCTGCGCAAGTTTGCCGACGTGAGATTGTACAGGGCACACTATTGGCTTATGGAATGGAAGGCGACCAACCAGAGCACTGTGTTCTGTATCCTGGGTGCTGATTGGCTCAGTGACCGCACCTTGGTCTGCTCTTCCGCACTGTTCCCCTGCGGTTAGCATTTCTCCTTGTCCACATCCACGTCCGATCCATGTGCGTAGTGTTGCTCTGAGGTGTTGTGTTTTTGTGAAATTTTGGTAAAAGTTTCCATTTATTTCAAGCCCTATGATGCCACCCAAATGTTCTGCGCTTTCTAAGGCTTCTGGCAGTGAACGCAAGCACCAGAAAAATATGCTTACGATCAAAGAAAAGGTGGAACTTCTTGACATGTTAAAGGCAAAAGCTGCACGGCTGTAGGCCGCCATTACGGGATCGACGAATCTACTGTTGGCTACATAAAGAAAGACAAGGCGAATATTAGGTCTAAGGCAACAATGACTTTTAACAAGACTGCAAAGTCGGTGGTCACTTCCCGCAATAAGGCCATTGTGAGGATGGAGTCCGTGTTGGCCCTGTGGATAAATGACCGCAGGGAGAAGAGTATCTCACCGGATACCAACACCATCCAGACAAAGGTCAAGAAACTTTATGACAGTTTTGCACAAAGCACGGACGTTCACGATGGTGATGATGAAGACGAGGACGACTATGCAGAAGCAGGACTGTTGAGTGCTTCTCCCACCAGACCAACCCCATTCAGTGCCAGCAAGGGCTGGTTTGACAAATTTCAGAGACGCTTTGGACTCAAGAGCGTTTCTCTGCCCGGAGAAGCTGCCTCTGCAGATAAAAAGCAGCGCCAGCAACTCCCCCTAAGTATGTTGTTAGTCACCCGGCCGAAGAGATCAGTTACACCCACGCCTTTAGTGGAAATAGAAGTTACAGCCCAGGCAAAGACACTGCAACACCTGATGAAGTGCCTGATGAAGTGCCTTCAGACAAGTTGTGATGCTCTTCTTGGCCGTGCAGCACATTCATCTCACCATCATCACCTTCACTGCCATCAATACTGCACAGCTACATAATTCCTGATCTTCATCATTCAAGTTGTAGTATACTTCACTGGTGAGTACCCATATAGAATTTTATGTTGTTAAGATTACGTAGGTTTAAGAGTGTAGGAAGTGTTTAAGAGCATATGAAGTGTTTATACGAGTGTGGGAAAGGTTAATAAGAGAGTGGGAAAGGTTTATAGGACTGGGGGAAAGGTTTATAGGAGTGTGGGAAGGGTTTATAGGAGTGTGGGAAGGGTTTATGAAGCCTTAAAAAATATATAAATAATAAAATAAATATAACACCACTACTTCGTGGGTTTTCACCTATTGCGGGAGTCTCTGGAACGTAGCTCCTGCGATAGGTGAGGGATCACTGTAACACGAATGAACACATGGCGGTGCAGGGCATGGGGGAGGGAGCAGCGAGTAGTGAGAGTTGCTGGGGCCTTAGGGGCACTGGGTAGAGGGGTGTGTGTACCCTGAAAGTCCACCAA